CACAAAAATTATGCCATGTTTTCCTCCTGAATAGCAAATGTCTGGAGCACAGAAAGACATCCATACCCATAAAGCAGAATTCAACTTCAGTACTATTGACATTTTGTACCAGAAAATTCTTATTGTGGGCACTTTTCCTATTCGTTGTGGAATGTTGAGCAGCACTAAACCCGCTGCTCACTAGATGCCAGTGGCACTTTCCCCAGTTACAACAACTAAAATTATCTCCAAACATTGTCAAAATTGCCTGGGGAGTAAGAGTCACTCCACTTTGAGAACCACTGCTATAAAGAAATAAGAGTATGAGAGGAGTAAGGGGAATTTATCTATTGAATATACTATTGTCAAACAATCATGATGTGTGAACAATGTTGCATGTGATCCGAGAAACAGAGGTACAGTTTTTATCCTCATGAAACTTGTAATATAGTATGAGAAATGAAAACAAATAACTAGCACACAGAACTGGAAGACATGAGAAAGAATGACCTCTCAATATGCATTCGGAGAAAGAAAAACAAAACTCTCATTGGAAAGACCAAGAAGGGTGCTTGGAGAATGTAGTCTTGAAGAAAAAGCAGGATTCCTAAAAGCTAAGATGGAAGTTAAGGTCTTAGAAGGAGAAGAAAGAGAACATTAGAAATCACTCTTCAGAAAGAATGTGAACAGCTTTGAACTCTGAAAGTTTTGGACGTTATTTAGGTCATTACTAAGGAGTCTTCTATTTGGGGGCGTGACATTATGAGATAACGACGGCCTCATGGCTCCCTGTTCTCTTGCTTTTGTATTTAACTTCTCTTCCCCACTTTCACCAGAGATTGTGGAAGAAGAAATGAGGAGTTTGTGATCATTCCAACAAACTGTCCAGAGCATTTTTGTTGGAAAAGTGAATCATCATGGAGCTTATTGTTACAAAGTTATTTGTTTTTATATACTTATAATTCATTACTATACAAATTAAATAGCTTAAGAAGTATAGTCTGAAAATTTTAACAATTTTAAGAAATGAGCCAAAAAAAAAAATGGTTACATTTCTGTGAAGTTTGGGTGAGAAATCAGCATTCAGGTTTTACTGATACATAAACTGACAACACTATATAAATAAGAAAGGCAAAGGAAATGACCTAGGCATCTCTGTTTAGGACATTGGTTCTTAAACTTTTGTAAACTTATGCTTCTATTTCAGTATATAATAGAAATGCTATAATTTCTTCCCAGAAAAATACCATAGTTGCTTATCTATAAGCTTTCATCTAAAACTTTAGGGTTTTTTTGACTTTCTGGAAACATTGCATGGCTCTTCTGGGCATCCATAGTTGTCACGTTATAAGACCGAGACAAAGCAAGTTACAGAATACAAGATTTAGAGCATTGCTTCTGACACCAAAGGAGCAGCAGAAATGCCTCAAATATCCTATGGGGTGGTTTAGGAGCTGAAATCCCTGGGATCTTCGTAAATACCTGGCATCATTTTAACTAATATGAAATAGAAAATGAGTTAATTATCATTTTCTATTTAAGTTCTAAAAGTTTAAATTACTTTTACTCAAGGAAAATTGCTGTATGTCTTAAAAACAATATGATAGATAAATACAAATATTCATGAGCTGAAATCAGAAAAGCTTTAGGGCTTATTCCAAGCTGATTAAACTTAAACTAGTAGTTTAACCTCTCTGAGCTTTGGTTTAATGGTTTTGTTTTTTTTAATAATAAAATATTGGACTATGTTATATTGAAGCCCTCTATATGTCCTAAAATTTGATAATTTAAATAAATTCATCTAAGTCTAAAAAATTAATACAAATAAAAAACTTCTACAAATAAGAATCACTACAATTATTCCCAGAGTAACATATTTTCAGGAAGTAATTCAAAGCTAGATGTGGTTGAATTGCCAAATGGCTGAATTTGCAAAAGTAGGTGATAATTAAGTCGTTATGCTCAACCCTTATTAAATATTAATGAATTCTCCATGACTTTGAATTGGAAGCGTATTTTACATGAGAGGTTCTGACTGAGCTGTTGGGATGATGAATCATCTCTCACTCAGAGGTGGTCTTCCCCAGCTCTAAGGTACTCATAGGCACTACCAGGAAATTTATCTGTGGTTGACTGTGTTGTACTTGGCTTTTGACTATTTTTTTAAATAAAAAATTTTCAATATTGATACCACCATGCTTTAGCCTGCAGGAACAAGATTTTCTCTACAAAAAAGAGCTTGACATTAGAAAAATAATGGACTCAGCCAAGGCTCCAATCATCTGCATGCACTCACCATTTGTGTGGCTTTACATCTGGCTGCATACACACCAGGGCTGAGGATCCTAAATGCATCTGGGGAGCAGAAGCTGGTCAGTGTAGTACTCTCCATTCACATTTGTTGTTTGTTTTTATAACACATGTTGGGCACAAAAGAGACAAACAAGGGTAAAATGGTTTTCTCCTTTCCCATCTGGTTGTCTGCCAGAAATACAAAGCCCAAACAAAGCATCAGGTTTCAATGTTCTGACTGTTGAGGAGCCCCACTTTCTTGTTCTCTGTTCTTCACCATTCTTCTTAACAAATATTTTTTCACCAAGTAGAAAGCACTGTAGTTCAATAAAATACAGGGTTATTTACCTGTACCTTCTTCCCAATTCCTGGTTATTAACACTATATTTGTGGCATAGTGTCTCTTGTGCTTATTTCATAGGAATGTATTCTCTTATAAGAGCTATATATTCACAGTATTTTAAACTCCTGAAATTAAAAATACAGATAATCTTTGGTGTATAAATGACCTTCATTGTATGAATTATTTAAAAGTTCTGCTGTTTAGAGTTCAAAATATATGTCTTATGGAAATAACTTTAAAAATATTGGATAGGACCCAGGATTAGAAAAAAGAGAGAGAGAAAGAGAGAGAAGGGTGGGGAGAAAAGAAAGAAGGAAAGAAGGGAGGGAGGGAGGGAGGGAAGGAGGGAGGGAGGGAGGGAGGGAAGGAGGGAGGGAGGGAGAGCTAAATAGACATATAAAATATAGTATACATTCTTTTGCATGCAAATATTTTTGTCCATTCTGTAATGCAAACTGGAAATCCCTTAGCAGCTGAGTGACAGGGAGAGACACAAGAACTATCTCTTTCAGGTGGGTAAACTATATGCCTAATAGGGAGATGATAATGGCCTCTGTCCCATAGAAGGATCAGCATGTGACAACATAAGCTGAGGATGGTATGGTTACCCCACCTGTTCACATTTATTGAGCAACTGTAAATTGGGTGTTTTAGTGCCAGACATTGCCCAAAAATAATTAAACCCTCCAAAAACTTTTGAATTAGAAATATGTCTGAGACTTGGGCAATCTATTATTTTCAGTTGGCTTAGTGAGCATTAATGGACATTACTAGCAATTTCTTCTGTTTAAGTTTTTAACTTAAATTTTTTCACATTTATAAAATTAGAGAATAGCAGCATGAATTTATATATTTCCATCCATTTTGGTTCAAAACTCAATATTTTGAGTTCTTTGTATCAGTTATTCTTTTTTTCCTTTCTTTTTCATTGTCAAAGTATTTCATAGCAAAATTTAGATCTCTAATCATGTATTTTGCAGTTATACAACTATAAACAAATGTATTTTCTGTACATTGGGAGTTATAATGAAGACATTTTTTTCCTATCATCTGTTAATAATACCCTGTTTATAACAAATCTTCCTTTATTGCCTATAAAATGACTTTTATGTTAGGTTTGTTCAAATCAATATCTAAGCAAGGTGCACACCTTAAATTTGGTTATGTATCTTAAATATATTTTCACCTTAAGCAGTCCCCTCTTTCTCTATTTCTTCCCGTAACACTGACCTATTATCAGATTCATATTGGTGTCATAATTCTCAGTGGCTATTTTTCCCTTAAGCATTATTTAACTCATTTCTTTATTCTTCATGTGTTCTCTAACTGGAAGCTAACCCTAAAAGTCAGTCGTGTCTTAAAATATCCTAACAATGTATTGATTTTGTCATTGGTAGGCTCTAACACATCAGTTTAGATTGTGAATAAAGAAAAATAAAGTATCTTGGAATCTGTCATGGTTGGTGGAATATCCCAAATTGTACAATATTATTCATATAACATGTGAAATGTCTTACACATGGGGTGCTGTACTTTTTTCATGACATCTGCCTGGTTTCTATCATTCTTAGAATTTGTAGACTCAGAACTAGGAGATTCTTACTGAGAAATGTTGTGAGAATTAATCAGAGAGTTAGGGACTGGATATTGAAGTAACTTTAATTGTTAAAATAGAAGATCCTTTTACATCTTTGACTTTGAATTGTGCCTCTAAGATGGAATGGTAGACGATGCCTCAAAAGGTAAGAGATGATTGTGGATTCTATTTGAAGAAGCAGGATCACCCTAATGCAATGGATTACTGCTGCAATGCTCAGTTGCTGCTGCAATGCTCAGTTGCTGCTGCATGGCTGATTACAGGGTGAAAAAACTCCAGAAAACTTAGCACAGTGTTTTCACACTTCTAGTTATGCTCTGCTTTCATAAATAATCAAAGCCATAGTTGAAAGGCAAAAAGTATAACAACATGAAATCTAAGAGAAGTGTGCCTTGGTGATAGTGGTATGTATTACAGTAACATTCATAATCCTGAGAACAATATTATCATGTAGATATGTTACTATTTCATTTTAAAAATGAGGAAATTGAGATATCAAAACCTAATAATTTCCCCAAGGTCACACAGTAATAAGCAGAGGTTCTTAGAGCTGAACTGAAGGTCTAGCTCTTAACCATGACACCATACTGCCTCTTAGAATAGAGTTTTGAAATTACTGTTGTCTTTATATGAATTCCAGATTTCAGAGGAACTTTTCCTCACTCTCTAATACTAACCCTGAATCTTGCAATATCTCTTAGTTCATGTGCATTTCTGATGTGAGTATTTATATACTAATACACAGTTAATATTAACTCTATGTATAAATATTCCTTCTGTTTTAAACAGGTCATCAATTACCTTGGTCCTTTGGAACTGATTCTTAATACTCCTAGCCATCATAGAGTTCATCATGGTAAGGAAGTTCTATTTTGTCTCTCTTTCATTCTTCATTTCTTTAAAAATTACATTATTATTTGCCTTGCTTTATTTAATTGCAATTTCCCAGTATAGCCAGCACACATTTTACAAATAAATATCGTTTCTTCTTTTCTGCCTTCTTTGGTACAACTTCCAAAGTATGAACTGGTGGGGTGGGGTGGGGTATGGGAATTTATCTATCTGACTTTTGGATTTTTCTTTCTACCTAAATCTTAGCTCCATTGTAGTAGAAAATGAGTTAACCAGCTGAGGAGATACACATTTTATGTTTTAAAGGATCCTGTCAAAGGCTGCTCCTTGACCCAGTGCTGAAGGTCATTCCCATCTATAGTCAGAGAGTTAGTGGTCTTGAAAACTGTTCTGATTTAAGGAAAGCTCAATAAACAACACTTTACTTTCCTGCCTGAGGCCTTGAACAATCTCAACATAATCTGCCTTTCCCTGATAAGGAGAAAATTCTGTGACTAGTGCCTAAGGTATACAGATACCAACTTAAGTAATAACAAACATGTTTACATTGTGGACCCCAAGCCCTATATAGCAATGTGCATATAAGCATTATTTATGATAGAAAAAATAGAAATAATTCAAATGTTTTTCAGCATTAGACTAGATATATTTTATATCATATATGTAATGGAGAATGAAGTAACAATGAAAATGCCCAAACCATTGCTAGATGCAAAGGCATGAATAAATCTCACAAACAATACTGGGAGAAGAAAGCCAGTAAAATAAATGAATGAATGAATGAATAAATAAATGCAATTGTTCTGTTTTTATAAGTTTCCAGTCTTCCCCAGCTACCATGAATCCCTGAAGCCCTGCCTTCCCAAGAAGGGCAGGTCCCTAGGTTTACAGCAGGGAGCTGAGCAGAAGCACAGGCTTCCACAGGAAGAGGCAGGACAGGTCAGGGTGCAAAACCGGTTTCCTCTTCCAAACCCAAAGTCATTCTCCCAACTCCAAGGAGGTCAGAAAGTTCCTGGTTTATGATGGTTTGACTTCTAATTTTTCGACTTTAACAATGATGGGAATGTGATCCATATGCTGCGGACACCATCTCTTGAATACCCATATAGCTCTTCTGTTTCACTTTCAGTACTGTATTCCATAAACCATATGAGATATTCGACACTTTCTTATGAAATAAGGTTTGTATTAGATGATTTTTGCCTAATACTGCAGGCTGATGTAAGTGTTCTGAGCGTGTTTAAGGTAGGCTAGGCTAAGTTATGATGTTCAGTACATTTTTTTTCTGGTTGGAATAAATTTATTTCATCTGTCTGTAAACAAGGTCTTTAATAGTTATGGCATCTTTTTAAATGCATATTAAATCAGATGAGTTAGACTGTATCCCAGATGCAACAAAATGCAGGGAAAGAAATGGACAAACCAGCAACAAGATTTGTTTTTAAATCTGTACATTATCCACAAGGTAATCCAAAGTACATTAGTCACATTTAAGAGCATTTTTGACTCAGTGTTTTTCAATATAGATGGTTCATCAGGATGTAACTTCACCATAAGTCAAGAAGCATCTCTAATTAGTGAGGGAGTGGAGAGGCCAAGGCAGTTATACACTTGCAGTTCCTTCCATATAAAAGGAAATATAAGGAGTGGAGAACAAGTCCACGTTACAAAATGAAACAGTTGCTATTTCTTCTGACTGCATTTTCACACCCATCTTCTTATTGACAGCACTATTGACATTTTTGGACAGATACTTCTTTGTTGTGGATGACGTTCTGTGTATTGTAAGAAATTTAGCAACCTCACCCACTAGATGTCATTACTATCCCATCCCAGGTGTGACTACCACTAATGTCTCCAGAAATTCCCAAATGTCTCTTAAGGGGCAAAATGCTTACCTACTTATTCAGAACCATTATTTAAATCATCTATATAGAGCAGCGGTGTCTGTGTCTGTTCATCCAATCTCTCTCTATTTTTACACTATGGAAGAATTTTCCTTGAATCTGTGCTTTCCAATATGTGGTATGCATGAAACCCATGCAAAGGAATGGGAACTCGTGAAGGTAGTTGAGTTTCCTGGGGTAGTGACTTAATTAATTATTATTATTTTTTTTAGATTTACAATCATGTGGATATGATTTACAATCATGTGTACTTAAGTTTTTTGAAAAAATATATTAAAGAAATAATGACCAGCTATTTACTTTGTAGTTTGATTATTTTGCAGCAGGAAAAATATATGAGTTTTGAAAAAATTAAGGGTAATTTAATTTTCACTATGGCTTTTGTGAGCTTAAAAAAACTAGTCAAGTATCACTCTAAGTAGAGAATTTTCTTCCTGAAGTAGATGCAGAGAAAAGGAACAGAGGGACAGCGCATCAAAAATGTAAAATAAAACATGTTTACATACATTGTTTCCTTATTTTTACTTCTTATTTATAATTCTTGGTATCATTTAATTCTTAATTTTTATTATTGAATAGTCCTGAAAAATTATTTACATTCATTCCATTTGTTATACTGAAAAATTGTGACAAGAAAGCATACATATAGTTTTAAGAAAATCCTTGCTCTTTTTACTATGATTAATTGAAAAATAAAAATGAAAATTCCTTTACTAGAGAATAAAATCTGATGTAAATGAGAAGACATTTCCAGGAAAATTATTCTCCTGCTTAAATCTTAATTTTATGAATATGTTCTGAAAACAAGCTGGAGGTATCTCAAAAAACATAGCTTTATTTCTCTGACAAAAAATTTCTAATATTTTGTCTCATAGGCAGAAATCGTTATTGCATAGACAAAAATTATGCCGGTGTTCTTATTATTTGGGATAGAATTTTTGGTAAGTAAAATGTATTAAAATAAAAAAAATGAAATCAGCTTCTTTATGTACAGGAAACCAAATCTCATATCCTTAATGTTTATCTTGCAGGGACATTTGAGGCAGAAAATGAAAAAGTTGTATATGGCTTAACACATCCCATTAATACATTTGAACCAATCAAACTACAGGTAACATACTTGTTTTTTATTCTTTCTGCATTTATATATTTCATAAATCTTACGGTCAAGAGAAAAATCAGCTGTTGAAACGTGGAAGTATATTAGAATAACCTGAAAACCATTTTTAAGTATAAAAATTCAGAAATGACTCTGGTACGCAAGCAAAAGTTTGAATCAAATTAGGCAAAATACACTTAAAAACAACTCATTATAAGAATTTTCAAATATGTCTACTGTCTAGAATGAAAGTGTCTTTTAAACATATTCTTTCCCAGAATAGACCTGAAATATATTCATGTATTCAGTAGGAGCAATAGCAACATGTATAATTAAGGCTGATCCCACAGTAAGAAAAATATTTGCTTTCAGGGTGCATGACTCCAGTTAGAAATTCAACATGAGGCCTTTGCCTTACTCTTCTTGGACCCAAGTGTCAGGAACTATTACAGATTGGTTAAGTCTGTGCATTACCTCACTCGCTAAGACTTGTCGGACTGGACCAGTTTTCTGTTAGACATGTGGTGCTAGTTGTTCATCGGTCTCAATGGTTGGCACTAGAGAAATGAGGAATGTCTATGAAGCTCTGATCTGTCAGAGGCAGACCACTGCAAATCCTCCTGGGGTTAAGCACTCATAAATGAGAAAAAGATAAGAATCCTTGAAAAACTGAAGAGGTTGGTCAATGACAGCTCTGTACATGGGACTGCTTACAATATTCTGGAAGTGAGGAAATTATTAGCTCATGTTGGGTCAGCTTTTCCAGACTACTTCAAGTTTCACTGAAAGTTGAAATAACACAATTGTTGACACCTATTGAGCTTTTACTGTGTGCACTGCTAACAGCGCAGCAGAAAAATATTTAGTGTAGCTATTACTAAAATCTTATGCAATAGTGACTCTTTTTATTCCCATTTTCTGCTGGAGGAAACCGAGGTTCCCAGAATTTAGATTATTCACCCAAGGTCACAAAGCTTGTTAGCTGTAAACTTAACCAAGGTGGGTTGAAAGCTAAGCCTAAAACTTGGTTAACTCAATACACTGTACTGGTTCTTTACATAAAAGGCCCTAACAAATTGCCTTCACTCATTCAGTGAAAGTCTTTTTTTTCTTTTCTTTTTCTCGCTCTGTCACCCAGACTGGAGTGCAGTGGTGCAATCTCAGTTCACTGCAACCTCTGCCTCCCAGGTTCAAATGATTCTCCTGCCTCAAAAATCCCATGTAGCTGGGCACATGCCACCATGCCTGGATAATTTTTTGTAATTTTATTAGAGATGGGGTTCCACCGTGTTACCTATGATGGTCTTGATCTCCTGATCTCCTGATTCGCCCACCTCGGCCTCCCAAAGTGCTGGGATTACAGGCATGAGCCACTGTGCCTGGCCAAAAGGCATCTTTATCTCCTAGTACACCAAAAGAAGAAAGGTGATTATATCTCTTCTTTATTCTCAACTACATGGCATTTCTCTCTGTGTCTCTTAGACTTTACTAAGAGTAAGATATGGCTGGGCATGGTAGCTCAGGCCTGTAATCCCAGCACTTTGGGAAGTGGAGGCAGGTAGATTACAAAAGTCAGGAGTTCAAGACCAGCCTGACCAACATAGCACAACCCTCTCTTTATTAAAAAATCGAAAAAACTGCCTGCCTGTAGTCCCAGCTACTTGGGAGGCTGAGGCAGGAGAATTCCTTGAACCCAGGAGGTAGAGGTTGCAGTGAGCCAGATTGCACCACTGCACTCCAGCTTGAGCTACAGAGTGAGAAAAATAATAATAATAATAATAAAGGAATATGATACATTTTTCAGGAGAATAGAGGCAAATATTTTGGATATTTTCTTAATAATAAGCTTTATATAAATACAACCAATTGAGCAATAGTACATCGAAAGCTACCTTTTCTTCACTTCATGTAGCAGTTGTCTCCTTATTGCAGCCATTAAAAAAGAGATAGACAACTTCATCTGTATCCTCTAGGACAGAGTTTGGCAAACTTAATGTGCATGTGAATGAGAGGATCCTACTAAAATGTAGATTCTGTTCATTAGGTCTGTGGTCTGGTCCAAGATCCTGTGTTTCTAAGCAAGGCCCCATGTGAAGCCAGTGCTGCTGGTTGATGGGTGGTTTCTTTCAGAAGTAAGGCTTTGGGAGTGTCTTGCTGAGGAAAAGGGGGTTTATACCTGAAGTAGAATGAGAAAGGGAATATTGAATACAATGAGAGCTGCACAAATAGTGGGATGATTCGGATTTTGAGAGGAACAGTGGTCAGAAAATCACAGGTATTTATGAACAGCTGCTGAAGCTGTGTGGGTTCAATTCTCTAGGTCTTTCCTCTCACATTTCCTTTAGCACAGTAATTGTCACAAGTGGGTCTAAGATTAGTCTTTTACATGTTCACTTATATTGTCAGAAATGTCAAGTCGGCAAGTTGTGATAATTAGGAATACTTGAACTTACAAAAACACTTACTTATTTTCACCTCCATTCCTTTATATGCAGCTAAATTTCTCACCTATTCTTCAGAGGCATCAAAGCAACTTAGGATGGGTTCCAGCAGACAGAAGGGGTTTGTTTGTTGGTTTTCCTTATTATTGGGCATAAATCATTCACCTTGCCTTCCATTGGCATCACACATTTTCAGAACATTGGGAAATAAATAAGTGAAAAACAGGATTTTCTTTTAAAACATGACCATGTATTTCTTATGGCTTGTTTCCAGAATGATAGAAACAAAATTGTAGTCAGTTTCTGAAATTACAAAGCAGGTAAGTATATTAATGTACATTGTAACTTCTAAGCACATTCGTTTTCTATATTATGGTTCTTATTATTGCAGAGCCCTAAGCTAAGTTTCTACCTAACATTTACCTATTCCTCAGATCTATCCCATTAATCCATTTATGCCTGAGGTTGCAATTTTTTGAATTTTTGCAGTCAGACCTTGGCAATGGCCTTAAGTCGTAGAATATAAATAACTCCTACATGCTTAGCATTCTGCTGATGGAGCATTAGGCATAAATTGTTAAGTTCTTAATTGTCTAAATGCTTCAGATTCCTTATTGTGATATTCTAAGCAATTTCAAAGTTTTATTTATAATCTTAAAGGTTCAGATTGTTCAAAACACAGTGAAAATACTAGTAAAATCACAAACTCTGACAAAGCCAAAGCTACTTTCTCCATTAATTGACTTCTATATTTATCATAGAACTCACCTCTAGGGTCTACAGCTGATTTTCAAACTTCAGGAGTCTTTTAAGTCTCCTGGTGCATTATCATCACATATGTGTCATAAATAACAAACGTTTATTTAACACTTATCACATGTGGTCACACTTTTCACTTCTATACATGTCAAATGCATGATATTTAAAGAATGTGGATTCCTGCTATGAGACTCAAGGGGAACTTTTGCCTCTGTTGGTAAACATTTTTAATTACAGAGTATGGACAATTTGATACTCAGAAGTCTACTATCACAAACTACTTACAGGATTTTTATGACTATATATTGTCTGTAAAACAATACAGTAAATAGAGAATTGTGTTTAAAATTTTTGAACTGATACATAATCTTTATATGTTGTCATGTTCAACTTTTGTATCCATTGAGCAACACAGAAGAGTCGTCATTGGCCAGGTGTGGTGGCTCACGCCTATAATCCCAGCACTTTGGGTGGCTGAGGCAGGTGGATCATGATGAGGTCAGGAGTTTAAAACCTGGCTCGTCAACATGGTGAAACCCATCTCCACTAAAAATACAAAATTAGCCTGGCATGGTGGTGTGTGCCTATAATCCCAGCTATCCAGGAGGCTGAGACAGGAGAATCACTTGAACCTGGGAAGTGAAAGTTGCAGTGAGCCAAGATTCTGCCACTGCACTCCTGCCTGGGTGACAGATCAAGACTCTGTCTTGGAAAAAGAAAAAAAAGAGATAAGGTGTCATTAGGCAGGGATGTTGAGTGCACAGGCTGCTAGTTAATTCCACTGGAAGCAAAGCCTCTTAACTCATTTTTTTCTACATTGCTGATTGTCCAAACAATTGCCCTATTTTTACATTTCAGAATTATAATTTTATTGAACTTCAGAAATATTGACAATAACACACTTAATAGTACACAGAGTGCACAGAATAGATTACAGCATGGAGTACAAGTACACATAATTTCTAATCATGTATAACATATGTTTAAAATATGTAAATTACCATGAACAATAAAATGATATATATAATTTTTTGTATTTGATCTTTCTGTCCTATTTATCTTATTTGAAATAAACTCTTTTTTTTTTTATTCTTTCTAGTTTCACCACTTATTTTACATATGGACTACATTCTGGGCCACACCTGGATTCTTCAATAAGTTTTCTGTCATATTTAAAGGACCAGGATGGGGTCCAGGTAAACCAAGACTCGGTCTAAGTGAAGAAATCCCAGAGGTAAATAGAGTTCACAAAGCTGGAGATCGGGAAGATTCGTCTCATATTGTCAGGTCTACAGCCAGCTGGTACATAGGCTGTTTTCATGCAAATCTGTAAAAATATGTTCCCTCAGTCAGATGCAGTCCTGTGGTCCTTCATGTATGTCCACCAACTGGGTGCCTATTAAAGGAGTGCCTTCTCCCAAGTGAACTCTGCCTCTTACCTGGGAGCACACACTGTGGAGCAGAGCTACAGAGGCTGGTTTTCAGATCCCTTTAACGCCTGCCTTTGTGTGGGGCATAACTTCACAAATAGATGCAGCTCAGACACAGAGTCCTAGAATTCTAGAGATAGAGGAAAACTTAGGAATTAGTCAGTCTACGCTTAATTCCACTTATGAAAAACTGAGGCCCCCAAAACTGCATCTAAAGTCACATCAAGACAGTGTGGATTTTGGGTCAAACTGTAACTATCTTCATTTTGTAGTAGAGTAGAAGAGTTAAATACAGAAACCACATTGAAACCAGAAATTTACAAATGTAGGTCTTTAAAACACAGGAACCCAAATGAAAAATTCAGTTCCAACCCAGAATTACTCTTCTGGAGAAGAAAGAGAAGTTTCTTTGTAATCATTTAGAATATAAGTTCCGATTTCTTAGCACATAAATGCCATGAATATTAACGTATAAACAATACTAAAGTAAATTATTCTTGATTTCAAGGATGATATGATACTATGCATACAAAAGTTAGCCTGTACTGTTTCAAGGAAATAAAATAAGATATTTTATTTAAATATTATTATTTTGGGCCAGGCGTGGTGGCTCATGCCTATAATCCCAGCACTTTGGGAGGCCACGGTGGCCGGATCAGGAGGTGGAGAGATTTAGACCATCCCGGCCAACATAGTGAAACCCTGTCTTTACTAAAAATACAAAAATTAGCTGGGCGTGGTGGCATGTGCCTGTAGTCCCAGCTACTGGGGAGACTGAGGCAGGAGAATTGCTTGAACTCAGGAGGTGGAGATTGCAGTGAGCCAAGATAGTGCCACTGCACTCCAGCCTGCCAACAGGGCAAGACTACGTCTCAAACAAATAAACAAACAAACCAAAACACAAGATGGATTTGTGGATTTTGGGTCAAACTGTAATTATATTCATTTTATAGTAGAGTAGAAAAATTAAATACAGGAACCACATTGAAAATAAAAAATAAAAAATGTAGATCTTTAAAAGACAGGAACCCAAAGGAAAAATTCAGTTCCAACCCAGAACTTCAGTTACTCTCCTGGAGAAGAAAGAAAAGTTTCTTTTAAATCATTTAGAATATAAGTTGTGATTTCTTATCAAATAAATATCATTAATAGTAATGCAGAAACAACAGGAAAAGTAAATTACTCTTGATTTCAAGGATGATACTATGTGTACAAAAGTTAGCCCTGTGATTTTTTCAAGGAAATAAAATAAGATGTTTTATTGAAATATTATTATTTTGAAAAAAATCCTAATCTAAATAATGATAGTTTCTCACTCAGTTACCAAAGCTTCTGGGAATAAGTTTCCCAGACATTTTTGTTTATGTTCATAATTATTGTGCAACAATCTACCAAGTTGATACAGGTGAAATAATTTTTACATTTCAACTAAAAAAAAGCTGTTTGCTATGATCCATTTATTATTTTTCTTTCTGTCAATAAATAACTCAAAGTGAATACAATATTTTAGTTTATATGAGTGCAGGAGTCTGTGTTAAAAAAAATAGATGTAGGCTGGGTGCAGTGGCTCACTCCTGTAATCCGGGAACTTTGGGAGGCTGAGGCGGGCGAATCACAAAGTCAGGAGTTCAAGACCAGATTGGCCAACATGGTGAAACCCCACCTCTACTAAAATATACAACTATTAGCTGGGTATGGTAGCTTGTGCCTATAATCCCAGCTACTTGAGAGGCTGAAGTAAGAGAATTGCTTGAACCAGGAACCAGCAGGCAGAGGTTGCAGTGAGCCCAGATTGCGCCATTGCACTCCAGCCTGGGCTACAGAGCAAGATTCCATCTCAAAACAAACAAACAAACAAACAAAAATAGATGTGTAGCATTTTGGGGAAAGTCAAATGCTAGAGTAGAAACGTGGTTAATTGGAAGCAACTTTTCTGAAGTTTCCAATAAATAACTTTAGAAAAGTTTATTCCAATAAAATAATTATTTTTCTTTGAAGCATGATTACCTGCCAAGATCACCTTCTGTTTTTGTTGTTTTTGTTCTTTTGTTTGTTTGTTTTTTGAGATAGAATCTTGCTCTGTCACCCAGGCTGGAGTACAGTGGCATAATCTTGGTTCACTGCAACCTCATCTCCCGGGTTCAAGCAATTCTCCTGCCTCAGCCTCCTTAGTAGCTGGGAGGCTACAGGTACATGCCACCACACCCAGCTAATTTTGGTATTTTTACAAGGTTTCACCATGTTGGCTAGGCTAGTCTCAAACGCCTGATCTCAGGTGATCTGCCCACCTAGGCCTCCCAAAGTGCTGGGCTTATAGGCATGAGCCACCGCACCCAGCCCCTACCTTCTGTTTTTTCTTTTACTTTGCTGTCATATAATGTGATCATCAACACATTATCAAATAGGGAAGATCCAACCCATTCATTTTGGCTATCTTTATTATTTACACATATTGCTGAATTAGTTCTTATGCTGCTTTTTAAGGCAGACTACATCATAATTGTAATGCTTTTAAAATGAGAAAAAAGTTTCCTAATTTACAGACATGTTTCTATTTTGTAAAATCATGTTAGTTTTTTTAAAAAAAATAGCAGATACTTTTTTCAAATATCTCTCCTAGTGTGAATTTCAGTAAGAGAAATAAGTCTGGAGCAATATAAAGGAAATGGTTCCTTCCTGTCTACCTAGGTCACTGGGAAAGAAGTTCCCTTCTCATCACGTGCATCTCAGCTATTAAAGATATATACAGTGGTGCAGTTTGCTCTGATGCTAGCATTTTATGAAGAAACCTTCGCAGATGCAGCTGTAAGTAATGTCTATTTTAAAGAGTGTGAAAACATTATCTGTTACTTTGTTTGAAAATGAAAATAAGCTCCCCATATTAAGGCTATGATTTGTTATTCTCTTTAATTATCTTCTGGAATTTTGGCAGCATCTCACATTTAAACAGGTAAAACAATTCTTCTAGACTACTAAATGTAAATGAATTAATTCTATCCTAATTGGTTCTATATAGAATGTTTACCAAGTGGTATGCTGTTAATCTGTGTGATAAAAAATAATTTGCTATAAACCAATTTTATAACAATTAAAATAAAAATACTTCAGAAGTCAGAACTAAATGTATGGGAAAGCATACTTTTCATCCATTTTAGCATATTTACCTTCATTTAGAGAATTCCCTGCTATAATTACTTTAAAGAGTTTTCAATATAGAGGTTAATTCCTTTAGTTTGGCCTTTCTAAAGCATTCAGAATATTCCAATTTGTCTGGTGCAAATAGAAGAGCACTAGACAGGAGTTAGTTCAGGGATCACCATTTTGGGAGTCATTTTTTAGCCACCGAAGAATCCTCATACTACCTATATTTCGGAAAGAGCAAAAATAACATAAAGTATATAAAAATATGGTGGCAATTGCAAACAAACAAACAAACAAATAAAAACAGAATAAAAGAACAGGTATTTTGTTTTATAGATTTATTTATATTATATTCTTTATTAAAAATTAACAATAGTTCTAAAAGGTACATGAAAGAGGTAAGGTAACTAAATGGTAAGTAGATAAACTAGAAAATAGTGTAAAAAGTTGCGGTTTTTATACTTTGTTACCAAGAAAATGTGCACCCCATTAAAAACCTCAATGAATCAGCAATGTTGAAGGTTACATGGTAACTCTATGAATAATAGTGATATTGGAAAGCCACAGAGGTGGTTTGTACTTGCAGCAAAGTGGTGGTTAGGATACCCCTATTCTTTTTTTTTTTTTTTTTTTTTTTGAGATGGAGTCTTGCTCTTGTCACCCAGGCTGGAGTGCAATGGCAAGATCTCAGCTCACTGCAACTTTCCCCTCTTGGATTCAACTGATTCTCCTGCCTCAGCTTCCCAAGTAGCTGGGATTGCAGGTGCACACCACCATGGCTGGCCAATTTTTATATTTTTAGTAGAGATGGGGTTTCGCCATGTTGGCCAGACTGGTCTCGAACTCCTGACCTCAGTCCATGTGCCTTGGCTTCCCAAAGTGCAGAAATACGTGTGCTTATTCTAGCTTAAAATACTGCCATACAAAGAACCCCACAAGTAAAAATACTCAAATGACCCTGATGCTATGGCTTGGTTTATCTGTACATCACTGAACCAATCCATGTAGTTGGTCAGGTCTGGAATATGTACATGGTCTACAAAAGGGAGGTCAGGGTCAACTAAACAGGATCCACATGATCTATGAAAAAAAACAGTGGCTTGAAAAGAAATTGAGGTGATACATTATAGAAAAAGGTAAATAGGCTCAAGTAGGCAAATATAACAAAGTTAGATCTATATAACATAATTGATGTTCTCACTCAATCACCTATAAAATACCTAGTGACATATAAACCTGCCCGTAATTAAGATATTTATGATATGAGTGTCCATTAGATGTCTTCTTTTCTAAAAAACAGAATTTCCAATTAAATTTGTCTGGAATACAGCAAGTGTTTCCAGGATTGGTTGCTTCAGCAGTTCAGACATTCAGAGCTTTAAAAGGGCTTCTCTAATACCTTTGGATTTTGTCATCATAAAATAATGGTGATAATAATAAAAAAGCTGTGAGGGCTTTTGACTAAAGGTGGCAAATTCACCACTCTTAGAGCATCTTGTTAATTTTATATTTCATTTTATTTAAGAGGGAAAACACACACACACACACACAAACACAGACACATTTCTTCCTGGCAGACTTCCTTTTATGTCTCGTATTTCAGGACATGCCCACACTAACCCAATAACTAACATCAGGTCATGAATTAACTATGAGTGAATTACACCAAGTATAATTTTTGCCCTCAGGATAGAGTGGAGTTCACTTCCCCTGAGCACATTCCTCATTTATACCTGGACAAAATAAGCACAGCATTAGTACAAAAGACATGGGAGGTATATGTTGGTTAGGCAATCAATAGTGTATGTAATGGGTCCTGCTAAATAGATTTTCAAAAAGTTGTTATAGAGAGTATTGAATAATGCCTTGAGAAAAGGCAATTTAGTAATTTTAAACTTTTTTTTTAAGTTCTAGGGTTCACGTGCAGTTTTGTTACATAGGCAAACTTGTGTTATGAGGGGTTTGTTGTATGGATTATTTTATCACCTAGGTATTAAGCCTAGCACCCATTAATTATTTTTTCTGATTCTCTTTTTCCTGCCATCCTCCACTCTCCAACAGGCCCAATTGTGTGTTGTTCCCCTTTATGTGCCCAGGTGTTCTCGTCGTTTAGCTCCCATTTACAAGAGAGAACATGGGGTAATTGGTTTTCTGTTTTTGTGTTAGTTTGCTAAGGATAATGGCCTCCAGCTGCATCCATGGCCCTGCAGAGGACATGATGCCATTATTTTTTGTGGCTGCATAGTATTCCATGGTGTATATGTACTACATTTTCTTTATCCAGTGTGTCACTAATGGGCGTTTAGGTTGAATCCATGTCTTTGAAATTGTGAACAGTGTTGCATGTAACTTTATAACAGAGTAATTTATATTCACCTGGATATATACCTAGTAATGCGATTCCTGGGTGGAATGTTATTTCTGTCTTTATGTCTTTGGGGAATTCCATACTGTCTCCCACAATGATTGAACTAATTTACACTCCCACCAACAGTGTCTAAGTGTTCCTTTTCCTCCACAAGCTTGCCACCATTTGTTATTTTTTGACTTTTTAATAATAGCCATTCTGACTGGTAGGAAATGGTATGTCATTGCAGTTTTGATTTGCATTTCTCTAATGATCAGTGATGTTGAGCTTTTTTTTATATATGATTGTTTGCTGCATGTGTCTTCTTTTGAAAGGTGTCGTGTTGTTTGCCCACTTTTTTATGGGATTCCTTACTATACCTTTGTTGGATTCATAATTTGCAAATATCTTCTCTTATTCTGTAGGTTGTCTTTTTACTCTGTTGATCGTTTATTTTGCTGTGCAGAAGCGCTTCTGGGCTTTCTTTGATTGGTAGACTATTTATTACTGCCTCAATTTTACAGTGCACTGATGGTATCTTCAGGGTTTTAGTAGCGTCCTGGTTCAGTCTTAGGAAGGTGTATATATCCAGGAAATTCTTCTAGACTTTCTAGTGTATGTGCATATAAGTGTTCAGAATACTGTCTGATTGTTGTTTGTCGTTCTGGTTATTGGCAATAGACTCCTTGTTGTTTTTGGTAGTGTTTATGTGAATCTTCTGTCTTTTCTTTATTAATCTCACTAGCAGTGAGATTTTTATTTTATTAATATTTTATTATTTTATTAATATTTTCCCAAAAACAGCTCCTGTATTTGTTGATCTTTCAAATGGCTTTCCATGTCTCAATATCCTTCAGTTCAGCTCTGCTTTTGGTTATTTCTTGTCTTGTGATAGCTTTGGGATTTGTTTGATCTTGGTTTCTGTAGTTATTTAGTTGTGATGTTAGGTTGTCAACTTAAGATGTTTCCAACTTTTTCACGTAGGCTTTTAGTGCTTTAAACTTCCCTCTTAACACTGCCTTAGCTGTGTCCCAGAGATTTTGGTATGTTGTGTTTTTTTCCTCATTAGTTTCAAAGAACTCCTTGATTTCTGCCTTAATTTCATCATTTACCGAAAAGTGATTCAGGAGCAGGTTACTCAGTTTCCATGTAATTGTCTGGTTTTGAATGCTTTTCTTAGTCTTAATTTCCAATTTGATTGTGCTGTGGTCTGAGAGACTGTGCGTTATGATTTCACTTCTTTTGCATTTGTGGAGTAGTGTTTTACTTTCAATTTGTGATTGATTTTAGATTATGTGCCATGTAGCAAAGAGAAGAATGTACATTCTGTTGTTTCTGGGTGGAGAGTTCTGAATATATCTATCAGGTCCATTTGGTCTAGTGCTGAGTTCAGGTGCTGAATATCTTTGTTATTTTTCTGGCTGGATGAACTGTCTAATATTGTCAGTGGGGTATTAAAGTCTCCCATTATTATTTTGTGGGGGTCTAAGTCTCTTTGAAGATCTCTAAGACCTTGCTTTATGAATCTGGGTGCTCCTGTGTTGGGTGCATATATATTTACAATAGTTAGATTTTCTTGTTGATTTGAACCCGTAAAGGGATGGAGGAAAAATCTACCAAGCAACTGGAAAACAGAAAAATAGGCTGGGTTGCAATCTGAGTTTCTGACAAAACGGACATTAAACCAATAAAAACCATTTTAATTTTAACATTATTTAAAAACTTTAATGATTGATGTTGTCAGTATATATTTCTTTTTATGTGTGTTTAAAATTACTAACCACATTATTCTCCATATAGGAATTCAAATTTTAAGCAATAGATACGTTTGTATGTGCTGTCTGTCCAAACATGATTTTTTTTTAAAGAAAAAGCCACAGGGAAACATATAATAGACATTTCTTATCGTAGAAAATAATGAGTTAGATTCTAATTTCCATTTTGTGAAGCAAAAATAGGAACTAGGATACTATGGGGCCAGAAGATTTTTGAAAATATAATGATTGGAAATATAGTTACTGTTTGTTCTGCTTATATGTGCTAGAGCTAATGATGAAACAAATTGTATATTGTAGCAGGTTTGTTTGCCTTTAGTACCCAAAATGACAAAATTTGAACCCAAGAATTTCTTTCAGGACCAAAGCTTTTATAACAGTGGTGTGAACCACATCACTCTTGGCGGTGCACACACACACATCAAACCACCCAAATGCTTAGACTTCATATTTATTTAAAGTAAGGTCTCATAACTAACCCCTCACTGATTACTCTGTTTAATATATAAACCTAATATGTTCACCCCAAATAGGACTAAAAT